GAAAAGGTAGAGGCTTCTATGCCTATAAATATGTACTTGTTTCGTTCGTTTAATGTCATGAGAAGATTGGAACCCAATTTACGTTTGTTTGCTTTGATTATTTCTTTCGTTCAGTTTAGTAGTTTCGTAGCTATTTTGGGGTTGTTCTCGCCATTAAGGAGATCCTCTACTCGAGAGCGTCGAGCAACGTATCCAAAAGTCCGGAGAAGTAAAGATTCAATACGTAGAATTCCGCCCCTACGGCGCATCTACGTAACAGAAACATTTTTGTTAATTAAAGGAGGAATTTAAGCAGTGGCCGGGAAGATGGTGAAGCTGATGGCGGCAACTAAACTTGATTCACGTCATTTCTTCGATGAACAAATCGAGACAGAATAACAGAAAGATAGATGAGATTGTTAGTATGTGGTATAAGACTGATTATGGAACATCTCCCAACAACTCGAGTTATCGGGATCAACGGGCTTTTGATATGGTATCATAGCTTTTTGAGACCGAGAGAGGTCTTGTGTTCGATTTCCGGTAACGCCCCATTTGTTGAACACATGGTATTCAGACTTGTGCAAACTTCAAACCCTTGTGAGTGACTTTCGTTTGAGGGGGGGCGTGTTAGTGTGTTGTATAAGATCCATTATGGTTACTCTCCCAACAACACAAGTTATTGGGACCTCTCCCAACAACACGAGTTATTGGGATCAACTGGTTCTTGACAGACATGCATGTATGGAGTGTGTTTTCCTAGAAGTTTGTTAAACGATAAGCGAGTTTTTCATTAACTATTCATTGACTCATCTGGGGGAGGTTTCGGACGTTAGTTCATTTATTCTATTACTAATTAAATATTTTCTTCGTCCGTATAAATGTTATAAAATGTGAATGATCACATGATTAGTGGCGGATTCAACTGCCAAGGGATTGGAGTCTCAGCCTCTCAGGACCCCACTTGGGGATAACTATGAGTAGAAAATGCGGAGGTGTTAGATATGAGTTAGAATCAGGACGCCAAAGTGAATTATCTCACTCAGCGTACTACAAAACTTCACATGTATCTTCATCTTAGTCCTCGTGTATCTCACTCACTCAGGAGTCAGGACGCCACTCAACTCAAGTTCAAATCTGACCGGTCACTACATATGATAATTTAAGATATGTACATTAAAAAGTGTCAGAACAGGAAGCTATATACCCACTTCCTCTAAAACTTGAATTCAATTTCAAGTTGTTGATGTTATTTTTTGCTAGCTTCTTCATGACTAATTGCGACTAATCTCGACGAAAGCTAACTGGCATACCCTAATGTTCCTTGGATTGAAATGTAATTTGATTTCACTCTAATACCAATGTAAAATAAATGGTGCCATGGAGAAAAAGGACAAAAGAAACAAAAGGCATCAACTTGGTAGGCGGGACCCAGCTGCTTATGTTTGTTGAATGCTCGACCAGTGGGACCCATTTGTTCAGAGGATGTCACCTCTAATTTACCACTTAATTCTAAATTAGCTTTTCTCTTTTGCAGGTTTAGTAGTCCATTCTCTTTTTAAGTCTTAATTATCATGATCATGGCCCGGGGAAAGGACAAAACAACCCCCCCTAAAGTCCTATCTAATCTATCTCATCCCCTATCTCTTTTGCTCTCAAATCACATTTTCAATTCCTACACCACAAATTAATTAGTCTGCGTGGAGCAAAGTTTGAAGACTTTTTGGTTTATTTACGTCTTTTTGTTGTACTTAAATCCAGTGGTGGAGTCACGTTAAGTTTAGGGTGGGCTATAGCTTCACTCAAGTTTAAAAAATAGGTAAATTTACGTGGAGAATGTGTAATAGATTCTAAAAATTGACTAGTTGGTAAGCCACTATCCCCCCTCACCAATGACCATGGTCAAACCACTCCAAAGTATATTTTTAGCCCCCTCGTTCAATTTTTTGGTTCCGCCACTGTTAAATCTTTCATCGACTTAACATGACTGTCTGTTTAGTGCCACAAAATACATTTTCATGGATAGTTCGACTATTTGTTGATTGTAACACATATTGCTCAGTACTCTGTTACTATCTATCTTTCAAGTTGCACGTGAGTTCCTAGCTATTTACTTTATGAGTCATTTTATTAATTATGTATTTATGTATTGTCATTAATAGGTTTTTTTTGTATACACAAAACTATTTTGTCTTAGTAATTTTAGAGAAGATTAATTAAAAAATTTACACCACTTTCTTAATTGTCTCCTTAAACGAAAGCTTAAAACTCCTACATTTGCAGGAGGTTCACCTGAATCCAAGTTTGAGTCTCAGCATCATGTTTTGTTTTAGTTCAACAATTATGCTTTCTGTCGATAGAACAGTATTAGTACAGTTTACAAGTCACTTCTCATCAGGGCTCCTGAATCTTTGTAATTAAAAAAATATTAATTTTTTAAAAATTGGGATAGACAGGGAAATCTTATTATATTTGTCGAATTAATGAGGCCAATGATAGGCTTTGGAAGAATCTGGGGAGAGGGCCAAAGGCGTTGATTTGTCTAAACACAAGGGGTTTGGTGGTAATTTCCATGCATTAGTGATTTAAGTGCGCATGATAACTGATCGTCGTCTGCTTTAACTCTGTGGTGCGATCGTAATTAATTAAGGACAACCAACCAGATTAGATTAGACACACAACTTATTAAATTGATGATGATGTGGGTTAATTAGTGAGTGCAAGAGGCCCCCCCTCCTCCACCTCTTTTAGTCAAATATTTAGAACCCTTGACATGTACATGCATATTTGTCGTTTATGAGGAAGTGGATATAAACCTAGTACTAGCTGGCTAGCCTTAATTCCGGAAGCGGATTTTGTTCAAAACTTATAAGAGGTTAGCGTCATACTAACTATGAGTTGACGGTTGTGAGAAATTTTATATGAATCAGAGTACTAGTTTCTCTACTCTTCCCTTGCTAGCCATCCTTTTGGGATCGAATCATCTAGTGATCTCATAGGAGCTTAGCATCATACCAATCATAAGTTCTTTCCTGGTGATCCGCGTCGGAGTTATAGTCATTCAAGTGCAAAAAAGACTACAAATGTAAAAACAATGACTATGTACAGTTATGATCTCGTCGGAGTTGAAGTCCTACAACTAAAAAAAAATGATGTTTTCAACGATAGAAACAATAACTATAACTATAATTGTACTACTATAACATGTGATTAGCATGATGCTTACCCTAATGGTTAGCTTGATAACCAATCCCTTTCTTTCTACCTAATTTCATATATAAGTTTCTAACTAGACGACGCCGCATTAGCTATGAAGAACGAGGACATTATCATCGTTCTTTCTCGTCATCATGGGAGAAGGTTTAACAATTTCACAAAGCAGTATCAACTATCCCCATAAGCCCAAAGATTTAGGCCCAACAGCATAGTATCTCTTTCAGAGGCCCTTCCGCAACAGTCTAGAATTCTAAGCCCAACTTAATAGCCGGTAGATACTTGTTACTTGTTAGGCTGTTCCGGCCAGCAAGACCTCCTCATCCAAGGCTGTCAAGTGTCAACTGCCAACTCACACACCTCATTCTCAAGACTCTCAACGAATTTATAAATACATACATTTGGTAAAGAGATATCTACAAAGATATGTCAAGAATGTATTCCAAACAAGGTTGTTAACCCGCGGGTCGACCCGGATTAACCCGGACCCGGCCAAAAAAACGGGCCATACTAACCCATTTTACTATCAGCCCGGAAATGGTCAAACCCGGATAAACCCGGTCAAACCCGGATTGTCCCGGCCGGTTAGCCCGTTGGAACGGGTCAGCGGGCTGATCTTCCTGAGCCCCGTTTTGGCCGTTACGGCGCCGTTTTGGCTTGGACGGTCCACTTCTTCTTCTCCCTGCAGCGAAACCCTAGACTCTAGAGACTCCATTAGCCGCCCATTTCGATTTCCATCAGGCTGCAGCGCAGCCGTGTCCTGCTCTCGCCATCTCCAGGGTTCTTTGGCGGCGTGGTCGCGGTCGCTGGCGGAAGATCAGGTCGGCCTTCACGGCTCCGTCTCTCCTCCCTTCAGCTCCGCCTCTGCTCGGCCCTGCTCGCGCCTCTGCTCGGCCTCCTCTGCCTGGCCACCTCTGCTCGCGAGTCGCGCCTCTGCTCGGCCTCCTCTGCCTGGCCGCCTCCGCTCGCGAGAAGTGCTCGGCCTCCTCTGCCCACCCGCCTCTGCCCGACCGCCTCTTCAGTCTTCACTCTTCACAAACTCAATATCCATTTGGTAAGGGTTTGATCTCTGAGACTTGATACAATTTTGTAAATGGAAACGAATGAATGGTTGATACAATTTTGTAAATGGAAACGAATTTTGTGAATGGTTTCATTTGGTAAGGGTTAGACCTTTGAGACTTGACTCCAATAAATGGTTTCTTTCTTTCGTATAGCTATGGTTTGATACAATTTTGTGATATTCAGGTTTTTGGATTCAGGATAAATAGAATACATTGGCTCTTTTCAGATTTCCGGGCTAAGCCCGGCTAAACCGGGCTAAACCGGGTGACCCATTAACCCATGACCCACTAGCTCGTCCGGGTCCGGGTCGACCCGCGATTTGACAACCTTGATTCCAAATGACACGAATAGACACGACATAATATCGAATAGACACGACAAATTTTAGCAGTATCAATTTCGAATTTCATCTCATATATATATATAAAATAAACGTAACCAACCAACATTCCTGCAAGCATAATTGTATATTTGTATTAACATATTAAAATTACGTCAATTTATAAATGCATCCAACCAAACCCATCCTTTTTACTTCCAATTTCCAAAGCTAAGCTAGTAAAATGAAAACTTCTTACGTCTTAACAACCCCAAAGAGGAAAAGCTAAACCACTCTATCTACGTTTTATCGCCGCATTTCCAACAATCTAACAGGGAACGCCGATACCATGAACAACCCTTCAACTCCAAGCCGATCAACGTGGGGGCAGACACCGCTCACTCAGCACACTCTCTTTGCGTGACCCATAAATTAGCAGCCAGCAAGCGGAGAGAAACGTGCCGAAACAGAGAATCCCCTGTTCCACCAGTTCACATTACTATAAGAAACCCACAAAGAACACCAAAAGTAAAGCTCAAACCACTCCCAGGTTTTGCTTCTCGTCCGTATAGATTTCTCTCCACCATGCTAGTGGCGGAGCTGCTGAAGCTGGTGGGCTGGAACCCGCTACGATGGCCCGTCGAATTGGTCACCCGGGCCTGGAGGACCCTGCAGCTCATGGTCCTGCTGTCGGAGGTCCAAGGAATCAAGGATCCAAGCTATGTCATCCCTCCTGAGATTTTGCAGAGTCTCGGCCAAGCCTGGCACCCGTAACGTTATCTCTAGCTTAGCTAGACCGGCCCCGTAATTTGGTTCATGAATGTGTAAACGATGAATCGCACAAGCGAGAGTTTGAACATTATTTTGTCCACAAGTTTGATTTTCCCTTTGTATGTATCTTGCTACCCTTTTTTGTCCCTTCCCCTGTTTTTTGGTTCATTGAATCCAAGCTTACGGCCGCAATTATTTGTTCGGCATGCGAAGATGAAAAGGTAGGAGGGGGGATGACAAATTGGCAAATCAATCGCTACCAAATATGACAAAGCGACTACAGAGTACAGAAACAGCCACAGCCCACAAGTCTTAACTTTTGGAGTCCCCAGAAGATCAAAACCTACAATTCGCTATCAAATCCAGATGGATTGATGTGATCAATCGAGATCAAGTACCAGCTACTAACTAATGGATTGTTACAACAAGGGATTTTGATTGTTTCTACATCGAATTCAAATCTAATTCCTTGTTCTATTCGTCGTAAAAAAAAGCCAAATCCCAAAGGTTAGACCCAAAGAATCCTAGTTTTATTTACATATCCCCATCAATCACATTTTTTCAGTGGTTGAATCCAAATCCGGTGGCCGGTTTGGCCGGGTAGCGGAACCCGTACGGGTTTAATAACGGGTTCGATGACATGAAATTTTGGGTCATCGAGAAGCCATTGTTTTGGTGGAAGAAGCTCGAGCTGTCCACTTTCTGGCTCTGGTTCTGACTCTGCCTTCTGACCCCGCTCTGAACCTCTTCTTCCATGGCGGCGGCCCTGCCGTTCATCTTCAGCGTGTTGGATAAATCCACGTCGAAATTAGCTGCGTTCGCTGTGCCTTGCGAGATGGAAGGGACGTAGAAGTCGTTCGGACCGGCGGTGTTGGGGTTGATTGTAATTTGTTGTTGGGTTTGGTTCGCGCTCTGTTCGGGTGCAGGGTTGAACCCGAGAAGACTGGCCCAGTCGAAGCTGCCCGAACCCAATTTGCTCAAGCTCAGCTTCCTGTCTTCTTGGGACATTGGTTTAGCAACGAAACGCTCGTCCATCTCCGGCAAGGAGTCGAGTACGTCGTCGTAGTGGGACGAGGACGACGAGGAGGAACCGTTGTTGCTCTGCTCTTGGGTCGATAGACCGGGCATCGGTTTCTGCCCGCCCGAGTTTTTCTTGTATATCCGGCACAGAACCCAATCGTCCAACTGCATCCAAACCAAACCAAACCAAACCAACCAGCCAAATGAATCGAACCGTCCGGTTAAAACAAACAAGAATTAAAATTAGTGAAAAGGGTTGGTTACCTTTGTGCTGCCGTGCTTGCGGGTGGAATCGAGGAGGCGGTACTCGTGCATGATCCAATTGGTCTTGGTCCCTTTCGGAGCCTTCCCGACGTAGAAAACCAGAGCCTTCTTGATACCGGCTTTACGCCCTTCGGTCGTGATCACTTTGTCGGTACCGGTTGCCTTCCAGTAACCGGACCCGGCCACCCGGTTGGGCCGCGACCCGTTCGGGTACTTCCTGTCCCTGGGGCTGAAGAAGTACCACTCTTTCTCCCCAAACATAGCCTTCTCTGCAACAAACAGAGCCGCAGAAACCATGGTTCAACAAACAATTCTGTTAACAATTAAAAAATTGGGAAATGAGTACTAGATTATAAGTAATTAATAAATTAATCAGGTACCTGGCAAAACCCATGGATCGTACTTGTAGAGATCAATCTCTCCGATGATCTGCAGCGAGAACGGGTGGCCGGCGACTTTCCGGCAGAGGTACTGAACCAGAAGTTCCTCGTCGGTTGGGTAGAACCGGAAACCCGGGGGCAGGTTCAATTGAGCTAGTGGGTCTTTGTCTTGCACACCCATTTTTATCTCTCAATGAACCGATGGACCGACCCGGGTCGAAAATGGGGCTGGGTAATGAGAATCCTCTCGAGCTCTTGGGTGATGGCTTGTGGATTTTGGTTGCCAAGTGTTCTTTCTTTCTTTCTCTCTTTCTTTCTTCTGTGTAATCGCCTAATCGGCGTGTCGACTCGTATATATAAGGCGCCGCGTAAAAAAAAAATGAGAGAGAGAGAGATAAGTACGGTCGTCCTTGTCACACTTGTTGGGCAGATGGGCCCCGGTTTTTACTTTGTATCTGACGGTTAAAGTCGGCCACGTGCCTGCTGGATCACTACGGCCGACCTTATCCAAAGAGCACCCAGCCCAACCCAACTAGTCAAAGCCCAAAAACAAAGCCCCCACGCCGGCAAGGTGGGATATATAATGCCAATTTCACGTGTCCCATTTCCCTGATTCCAATTTCCACACTCCACTTAATTAATAAATTAATTACCATATTGTGCTGGTGTGACTAGTAAAAACTAAATTAATTACATGTTCAAGAGAAGAAGAATGGTCAAATTTTGGAAAATCGATCGTCAGTAAAGTTGTGAACACTTAATTGAGAAAAATGGGTATTTAAGTAAGTAGAGGAAGTTGAGAACTCGGCTGCCTAAAACAGCACAGGTGGAATGGAAATTTGGGAAAAGAGCGGCTTTCTTCTGGCTGACTCTCGTTCGTGCATGAACCTGTGACGAAAAGTAGGAAAAACGCGGACACGTGTATGGGATTTGGAAGTTTGTGTAGCAAAAATGCAAATGGGACAAATAAGGAGAGAAAAAGTGGTACCTATATATATTTTTTTTTTTTGCATGGACGCGAGCGAAGAGAAGTGGCAGATCATCGTAGAAACTTTGAATAGAGGGGGATGCTTGGGGATATGTGTCGACGGCATGGGTTGGTTTGCCGACACGTGGATGTGTTCCTGTCAAGTTAGGCTTGGGAAATATATGCGATTTGTCAAATTGCGAAGCAGCTGGCTTGGGAGAATTATGATTAGCTTCATTTATTTATAGACGAGGAGAGAGCAAAATGGCTGCTCTCTATTTCGACACGTTTCACCACCATATATTGATCTTCAGGTAGCTTCTTTACCCCAAAGTTGTTTTTCCTTTTTGTTAATAATTATTATTGACAATTTGTATTCATCACTATAACGAGCAAATATTGTATTAGTTTAATGGCGAGTGATTTACTAATAATAATATCTATGTATTTGTAGTTAGTGGTGGAGTTTAGATCGAAGTTAATTAGTAGGGATTTTAGTCTCAATTCAATTTTAAAATATGGATAAAAGTACATGTGAATTTTAGAAATGCGAATAGTCGATAAGGTTGAAATTAGTCCCGTGTAAATTTCGAACTCCGCCACGGTTTGTAGTTTGATCTTTACGAATAAGGTGATGAAACTCTAGCACTAGAGCTACAAAGTGTTGATGATCGGCTTCAGCATGCACCACGGTGACCTAATAATGAATGTGAATGCTAATTGCTTGTTAAGTTGTGCATGTCTCGTTCCAAATTGTAAAGAAAGACCAAACGTAATTGAATGGGAATAGTAAAAGTCAAAGTTTGAGGAAGTTCGAACAAGGGTACTGCCGTTAACGTACAAGAAAAATACGAATGAGGCTTAATTAAAAGCTTAATTAAAACCTAACAATAAAAAGCTGCTTTTCTGTAATTTGGAAAGAAATACAAACTAGTAAACGCGAGAAAAACATATGAGAAATTTACTTGGAAGTGGAAATTAAATACTATGTGTACGGATGATAATTTCGACATGACCCGTTTAACATGACCTGTTTGGTTTGTTTTGGTTCGGGTTCGACTCGTCCCGTAGGCAGGACGGGGCAGGCATGGGTACTCTCATCGACCCGACTTGCCCTGACCTGCCCCATTCTCGACCCGTTCTTGCCTAAATTACATGTAATCTTAGTTAAATTATTTAGGATTTTTCTCTTATTACATCATAATTTAGCTATAATAAAGTTGTAAATTAGTGAAAATCTCAATTTCTCTAATAATTTAACTACATTTATCATAATATTGTTTGTTTTCTTGGTCTTATAATAAAAATAACGAATATTTCTAATATTTTTCATATAAATTGCATACCCATTGGGTCGACCTGCCTCGACCTACGATCCGTAATAAATTACCTGACCTGCTACGAGACAGGTCTGAGTAAAAAAACCCACTCGAACCTGCCCTTGCCATTCCTAGCTATGAGAAAAGACCAAAGAGGATGAGTTTTCTTTTTCTCTCTTTTTCCTTTTCTCTTTTTTTTCTCACTTTTTCGCTTTTGGAATATTAGGGGTCGTTTGGAAGTTGCGATTGTTAAATAGATGTATTGTTGAGAATGCATGTATAATATTATACATGTATTGTCGAATTTGATGCATTGTAGAATACAACGTTTGGTATGTGTGATTGTGTATGTCGCATCAGCTAAAAGCTGAGACAAAACAATCTCAACTCAACTATCTCAACAATCACAACTAAAAGTTGAGATATAACAATCACTCAAAATGAGTGATAGTTTCTGTCAACAAAACACAAAAAAACGTATTGTTTCTACTAAAAACACAAAAAAAAACGTTGCATTTTAAACAATACATGCATAATGACAATCTCAACAAAACAATCGCAACTTCCAAACGACCCCTTAGTTTGGTGAGTCAAAGTGCACACGTCGCACAGTACACGTAGCTGCGGTTTGTATAATTGTATATAGACATATATGGTTTTGTGAGGCTTCTATTTTTATGACAAATATTCTACAAGTAATATGGCATTTCTGTAAAATCACCCTATTATTACTTATTAGATGATCTATATTGTTTAATATAGAACAACTAGTATAGAACTTTTTACTTTCTTTGTTTACAAGTAACAAATTAAAAAAAAAAGTGATTCAAATTCATAAAGGACATGTATCAAATGTGTTACATGCCATGCTCATGATGCCATATGGCACAACAATCATGTGAATAAGTTGGTGAATTTGTATGGTATTAAACAATAAACTAAATGGTCAAGTGAGCGTCACACCAATTACCAAGCACATTCCTAGATCGTGAAATTTAATTTATTTATGATCCCCAACTTTTACATAACACACATACAAGGTAGAGTAAATTGCCATGCACACATTTAAATCATGATTTCTTTCAATCCGTCTCTAACTACTTTTCACAAGCAATATATGACTTCTTTGCATATACACAAGTCGCTGGCAGAGAAACTCATTGGGTTTGTGTAATATTTTTCATCTCATAACATAATATTATTGTATATGAGATATTGGTGAAAATTAAATTTTCAAAGATGCTTCTTTTCTATCTGCAAGACTGCAACTACATGTTGACTTGTGGGTAAGCGATGGTTGTTACGTCCATCCCTTCCGAAAGGCTAGATATTAAGTGGTCAAAGTTCTTGTGTTGCCAACTGAAACGATCTATCTTGCTTATTTGCTTTCTAGTCTATGATAGTATGGTGTTGAAATTGAAACTCTTATCTTCACTTCTCGAGGGTAACATGCGACGGTTTTTTTTCAATTTTTCTGTTATTTAGATACAGTCTTGACAATATATAAGCACATGAATACTTTACTCGCGAAATTTTTATAGGACGAGCCAATATTGACAACTTTACCTTTGTAATAGATAATATATTACTGTGACTAGGGTGGCTATTTAGTCCGGGCTTTTTGGTTTACCCAAAACCGAATCGGGATTGGATATCAAACAATCGTTCGTGACCGGACCGAAAATCAGATAAAGACTGGATAAAAGAGCCCAACACTCAAAATTTAACCAACTCCTCACCTTTTCACGCTAGGGATGGCAACAAAACCCGAACCCACGGGTACCCACCCGACCCAACCCGGTCAACGCGGGTAAAATTCGTGTTGACGGTTTTTGGGCCGGGTTTGGGTTTAAACCCGTTCACTATTTACCGAGTTGGGTTGGGTTTGGGTTTAGGTAAACCCGACCCATGGGTACCCGCCCACACCATATAATTAATTTTCTCGGTATATTTAATATTCTAAACAACTAATCTTATTTATGTTTGTGGAGACATGTCAAATTTTTTCTTTCTAATTGTGTGGAATGAAGTTGATGTTATCAAGTGAAGAGTGAAGAAACTTAATTGAAAGGAAGAAGCTTTCAATTAATCATGTTATTTATGGATAATTTGTGATTTGCTTCAATTTTCTTGAGTTTTCTAGATTGGTGTTGAACAATTTGTATAGTTAATTTGTGATTTACTTTAAATTTCTAGAATGGTGTTTTATATATAGATAATTTGTATTGAGAGATTGATATTTGACTTTAATTTTGATAAGAACTTGTTATTGTAAATTTTTTACGACAACAACCCGTGGGTACCAATGAACCCGTGGATACCCAACGGGTTTTACCCCGGGTTTTTTTCACGGATAAACCCATGGGTTTGGGTTTGACAAAACCCGACCCAACCCGACCCATTGCCATCCTTATTTCACGCCTCAGGTTCACTCAAATCTCCACAAGCGCGCTCAATCTAAAATCAAAACCAAATTGGGACCAGACCAGTTCAAGACCGGACTGTATCCAATCTAATCTTTTATCCTTACATTCTCGTAAATACCAAACCGACACCAGATCAATTCGATCCAATTTAACCGGACCAGACCGTATTACCACCGACCCTAATTGTAACAATGTTATCATCAACAAAAAACACTTGGATTAAAAGTTGGTGATGACTCCAAATCGGCAAAAATCGTGGCCATATTGTCACAAATGATCATTTGTGACTATAAAACCATAAAGTAGGTTTATAATAATTTCTTGATTTAGCGTAGAGTGATAATCTAGATAATAAATAAAAGCCGAATGATGAAAACTGTTGCTCCATTTCAAATTTCCTGCAACGAGAGTGATTATAGGAAGGACATTTTGGTCTTCACAATTGCTTATTTTCTTATTTATTTATTCATAAAAAAGGCATGCACTGGGATTTGAACCTTGGTCTCTTTAAAGACAAGCAAGGATCATAACCAATCACACTAAGTATATTTGTTGTATCTATTTA